CATTTACATTATACATGTTTTTTTAATTTAACACATAATTATTTTAATTGGACAACTTTTTTTTTTATTCATAACTATACGATTTTCTATAAGCTTACAATAATATACGCTCAGCTATTTTATAGATTAAAACTAAGCTTAAGTTATATTAGAATATAGAAACTTGTAAGTTGGTACTATCGACCAAATTTTTTTGTATACTATCGAAAAAATAATCGTTTTTAATTTTGGTGCAAATTACAATTCCTATTTCTTACTGCCTGAGGGTGGTGCAAATTGCTTACCCTTATTTTGGTGCAAATTACAAACGCATTTTAAAAAAAATGGTGCAAATTACACATGTTTTATATATTTTGGGTCAATTTTGGTGCAAATTGACTACAGCCGCCTATGGAGTATACGCCATTTATTCGCTAAAATTCCAAACGAACATTCGACATATCTGCGTGCTCTGGAAAGTCTATAGTTAAACACACGTTTTTTCTCCGATATCTGCTTTCCACTATATGGCCGTAACATATGTTCATTTAGTCCAAAAAACTTCATCACCAATAAATACGTAAGGTAAGCGATTTCCATCCATGCTGATTATTTCGGGCTCAGGTAGATCTAATTCATTTTTTTTCATTTTTTTATATAAAGTACTATCCTTCTATATTGTTGAATCAGACGTTTTACCATAAGCTCAATATCAACATATATGAATAAGTAATTTGAATCGCAAACTGTAAGTAATACGATTGAAAAAAAATGTTTATAATTCCAGTACAAGGACCCACTATTTGGTGGGTGAATGATACGTATATGCTTTCCATCCACGGCTCCAAGGCAGTTGGGAAAGTTAGCTCTTGATTTTAATTGTTGGGCGATATCTTGCCATTTTTCTTTGTTTGGTTTTGATAAATGAATTGGTTGTAATTTAAGCCATATCTGATGGCACACATCTCTGACAATTTCACTTGCAGTTGTTGAACCACATCTATATGTATAGTGGAGCTCTTTAAAAGAACATCCGGTTGCCAAATATCTGTAACAATATTTATCGCTGATTACGTAAACACTAAATAAATAATAAGTTATTAAATTGGCAAAACAATCAGTGTATTGCATATAGATTACCTTTTATAAACTTTTTTTTTTCAAATCATTGAGAGTAAAAACCATTTCAATTATTTAAAGAAATAATTGAAATAATATTTATTTTTTTTTATTTAACTTATTATTTAAATTTTTTATTAGCTGTCATACTTCAAAGAAAATGGAGAAGTTTTAGAGATTCCTACAACAGAGAATTAAAAAAAAAATAAAGAAGTAAAGAGTGGATCGGGTGCTTCTAAGCATAGAAAATATTTATACTTTGATAATTTATCTTTTTTAAAACCTATTTCTGATAGAAGAGAAACATCAAGTTCGATCGACGATACTCATCAAAATGAAGGTGAGCAACTCATAACAGATAACTGTTATGATAAAAGCCAAAACGTGACTAAAAAAAGGAAGTCGATCAAAAATACAGATAAGGAGACTGAGCTAATTACAAACTTATCACACCGTTTGTCAGAACGTATGAGCAAAGAAGATGAAGCGTTGAATAATGTTGATAGTGATAAGCATTTTTTACTGTCATTATACGATCGTTTCAAAGCCACTAATAATAACGTGAAATTTCAAGCCCAAATTGAGATTATGAATATAATTCAAAAATATAGTCAATCTAGTCCTCAAAATTATAACTATGAGTCCTTTGGTAGACGTTTTGAAAATGTATCAGCTCAAGTATATAACACCGAGTATGAATCAAGACACTATCCGATGTATTCACACACACAATATCCTAGCCATATCGAACATTCTTCATTTCGAGCACCTACAAGAGTGAATCTACCAGACATCTCGCCGAATAGTATTCAATCAATCACTTCCCCAGAAAGTATTACAACCCATGCCACCGATGATGATAGCGATTCAATTTTATCAAATATTTTCAATTAAAGTTATGAATTATGATGTACATTATTTAATGTAACAATGTATAATAAATATATTAAAAACTACAATAAATAAGTTTAATAAATATTATATACCTTATAGTAAGTGCGAGACGTTCGTCCGCTGGTATGCTTTTTCTCATGGTTGTGTCTCTTCGTTGTATATTGTCCGTTAACTCACATAATAAATAATCAAATGACTTTTTACTCATTCTAAAATAATTAAAAAATTTATCATCATACATTCTTAATGAATTGTACAGCAAATTAAATTGGCTTTCATTTTTATTTTCAATAATAGGATGGACCCAAAATTGTCTCTTCTTACGACGCCGCATTCTTCGCTGTAATAAAAGTAATAAGAGTGCTTCCTCTTCAAAGTCCATTTTTACACTAGCAAAGCATGTAAAATAGAAATAAGGAACGTACGCTATATTTGTGGTCGTGTTGTGGTTTTATTGACGTCGGTTCGGACTTCTAACGACCACAAAATAGTTGTTTAATAGTGGTCGACTTCGCCGACAGTACAACCACAATTTAACCACAAAAAATCGTTCACGAGTGGTCCGTGTGAGCTTACCCTTAAAGTCGAGCAATATTAAAGGCAATTACAAAACTTGCTTCTACACTATCGTCTGCCTCGTTAGTAAACATTTTCATAACATTAGTTTGTTTAGCAAATTTTAATTTCATCCAAGATAGTTTATTTTGCCTCGAATCGGAACCAATAGGAAATTTTCGACTAAATGTGCTGTGGTTGGTTTCGTAATGACGTTTTAAATTACTGACTTTAAACTGTGATAATGAAAGTTGATAAATGAGACAAAATGGTTTATCATTTTTCTGTATAAAAAAGTATAACTCTTCACATTCTAATTTAAATTCCCGTTTTTCTTCTTTATATTTAAGTTTAACCGCTTATTTAGAAATTGACATCGTAACTAACTTTTGCAATAAGTATCGGTAAAATGTTACAAATATTTTACAAACAAATTAAAGTGTTTACAACAGGACTATTCAACACAGACTATTATAACAACGATATAATTTCATATTTCGTAATTTAATATGTGTTATCGAATGTTAGCTATCTTTATTACTTTTGTGGTATAAAAGTACATATTAGATAATTTATAATCGCATTAATATATGTGGCTCGCGTACTTAGTCATGTTGGCCACCCCTGGTATATATTGTATGTAAAAAAATAATATGCCAAACGACCAACGGTACTTAGAAGTACCAAATACTTAACTTAAATTTGGGCTTAAAAATTTTTTAAAAAGGTGCACTTATTTATCAATAGGTCAATTTTATGTTTTTACAAAAAAAAAAAAAAATGGTAAAATAATTTAATTCTAAGTCTGGTCAACAAAGGATTAAGCTCCTTATGGACGTTCTTGTTGTTACTGGCAAATGTTGCTATTCTTTCCACATTGTTCCTCAGCATATGCTCAGCTCAATCTCACTAAGCTCTTTGAGATTAACAGACCTTTTTTGGATTTTTCATTTTCTGTTCCTTTTTCTCCAATTGTTCCTAATTCCGTGGACTTTTGCGAATTTTCCAAGGTTATTGATTTCGACATCTGGGACGAACCACCTCCAACTGCCGTCTCCTGATGTCCGACTATCCCGAATAGAGGGGCATCGGGATGATCTTCAATTAGTTTTATGGATTGTTTGTTCGACACTGACGATGCCAGTCTTGCTTCGTCTGTCTTTTATTTTCGTCCGTTTTGCCTGATCTGCCTGGGCACTTGGGGTCAATCACTTTTCTGGTGTAGCTTGTCCGTGACTACTTATTCGTTCATCCCGAAGGTGTGGCTTATTTCGTAGCAGTCCTACATATCTATAGGACTTACCCCTATCCGCAACCTGGGGACACGTCCGATGGCAAGCTCGTGCCGACGGACAGCGATTTTAACCTATCTAGGGTATTCACTTACAGAAAACATTGATTTATAGAACATCCTCGTCATCCTCTCTTTAAGGCTCCAGCTTGCATTAGCCACGTATTAATATATCGACTGAATAACTCTACCGAAGACGAGGCTTTTTCCGCCAGATGGGTACTAAATTTCCTTTGCTGATCAATCGTGACCCCGAGGTATTCGCCTCCAGTGTCATTTTTACCTTAGCTCCATCAAGCTACAAGCCAAGAGGCTTACTTAGCTGGCCATTCAACCATAGTGTCTTCAACTTGGCCGCCGAAAAAGTGAGTTTCCTGTCAGAAGCCAATCTTGACGCTATTTCTAGCTGCGCGTTCGCATATTCTGTGAGTTTCGGACGGTGTTTCCCGGAAATGAAAAACGCTAGATCGTCCGCGTATGCGACGATCTCTGTACCAAAGCGGAGATCGCACGAGAAGAAAGGGTTGCCCCGTATTTCCAGAGGTCTAGTCCAAATTCTGAACTCTATGGACAACCCCTAGTGAGGGTCATTGAGAGTGTCACGTTTTAAATTGCTACGTGGGCCTTCCGGTCGTCAAGGTAGCTCTTTGTCAAGGCGATCAACTCAGAGCCGCATTTTACGCTTTGTATGTCTTTAATCAATTTTATTGCGCCTAATAGAGGTAGTTGAACACCCCCATATAACCAGGAATACGCCTACGGCGTATTTCTCCCGCCTTTTCGCCTGCCCAGCTTAGCACTTAAGTCATCGCGTCAATGGTCCATAGGTTCTTGGTAAAACCAGATTGTTTTGCTAACATATGAATGTCCGTATCTTTATGAATTTTCGCTATGATTGTTAAGGCCGGGAGCACATAATTGTGAGATATGCGTGCCTCGGTCACCGAAATACTTCGCACGCTTGTATGGTCACACACCGACCGACCTGTGTATGCGTGTATTTGTGTTTTTTTAGCAATTCAATAGAAGTGGATGGGTTTGTCGAGCAAGACTATTGAATGCTAGTGTGCGGTCACCGCACTGCGTTGGATGTTTAACTGTGTGTATAATTTAAAGCTAGGGACAAATAAGTAACTCAATAAAAATAACTGGTAACTCTATGCTACGGTAAAAAGATATATAATAATAAATAATAGTACTAATAATAATTACGGCCCTTTTGGCCTAACATGTAGAAATGTATAAAAGGTTACACAACATAAATATAATAATTTTATAGGCTCTTTTAGCTTAATAATAAGGATATAAAAATAAAGGTTATACATGCACGGTTCTTATGGCCAAGCAGAAAATAATAATAATGTGAGAGTCACAACAAAAATATAATAATAATAATAAATAGCCCTTTTGGCTCAATTAATGTAAATATAAAAATAATAAAAAATTATAGTATAAGAATACATATTTAGCCCTTTTGGCCCAACCGTATAAAAATGTAATAATATAAAATAAATAAATAAATAAATAATAATAATTAAAACTCACAAATTGTAGCGCAAACTGGTCTGTTGCTTCCTATGCTAGAATAATATAAATCACACACCCACACACACAAAAAATAAGAATAGAAATATACAAAAATAATAAGAAAAATATTATAAAAAATAGTATAAATATAAAGGCGAGTTCCCATCGCGTGTGGCTCGGCGAATCATGAGCCAAATACGCTGACTTGGTACACTACACGCGCCGTGGGAACGCTCTAGCTCGTCTAGGCGCGGTATAGCTCGGCCAGGCTCGCGTTTATCCGAAAATTGTCGGTCCGATGTTCCGCGCCAAAGGAAATGAGCCGCGCAATTAAATAGCGTTTCAACGAGTGTGCGGTTCGGCGAGCCATAAAGCATACGTTTTTTGGTGTTTTATTTATTTTGATGTTATTTTAATAATATTCTTAATATTTTAATAATTTATAATCATGGAATGGTCAAATGATGAGGTTATAAAGTTTTTGCAACTATATGAATCACATCCACAAATTTGGAATCTACGCCATCCAGATCATAAAAATAGGAATACCTATAGTTCACGATGCGTGGAAAGAAATAGAAAACCAATTAAGGTTAGATAAATTTTTGATTTTTTAATAATATTTTTAAATAAAATATATGTTTTGTAGGGTGAGGTTGGCAATACCACCATCCTACACCTCCGACGCAGCACTGTGTGTGTGTGTGTGTGTGTGTGTGTGTGTGTGAGTAGTTTTGTTACGTCTTTTTTTCTTCGTATGTACGTATAGCACATATGAACTTTTTTTTTACCTATGTATTATGTTTTAATATTCTAATGTCAAATAAAGTTTTCTTTTATATCTTATGAATTTGATTTATGCTAATTAATAATGGGTCGGCGTAAAAGTAACGCCGCCTACAGTTTTTAAATATTGATTTTTGTATTTTTGTAATTTTAGTGTCAAAATTGATATTACAGAAATAATAAAAAAAAAAGATTCTCTTATGGCTACTTATAGAAAACATTTAAGCAAAGTTAAATCAAGTAAGGGTACTGGAAGTGAAGCCAAAGACGTTTTTAAATCCGATTGGTTTGCCTATGATGCAATGGCATTTCTGCACGGGATTTACACTCCAAAAAAAACAATTTTAACAGAGATAAGTTTAATCGGTTATATTTTATTTAATTATATGTATTTTATGATTTGGATACAAATATACAATACAACTCTATCATACATTATGTGGGCAGTAGCCAAAAAGTACTCATATTATTTAATTAATATATATTTATTTATTATTTTTTACTATGATATATTTCAATAATTATATTTTTTTAATACATTTTAGTGTTTATAATTTGGATTTAATTATTAGTTGTAATAAAGCGTCTTTTTTTTCGTCTCTTAGAGGAAAACTCGTAAATACGGCCCTGTACACGTAATTATTATTTAATATGTTAAAAATACCAATGGCCAATGTAGGAAATATACTTAAAGTAATCATTCACGTTGCTCTAGTCGCCGATTTATAAATGTAATAACCGGTGTTGACATGTATTCTACCAATCATGAACCAAATGTTAATTTTAGTTGTTAATAGTTTTTATGTTATTTTTGTTCATTTAAAGTATGGGTATTTATGTTTTAAAATATTATACGATATAGCTGTGAAAAATAAATATGAATGACCCGAAATAAACTACTATATCATCTATATAATTTTAAAAGTAGCATCTAAAAATAAAAGAGAAATTAATAAAAATAAAATAATTTCAATGAAATAATTATTTATGTATTTACCACAAATATTTTTAAGTTTTAGTTTGGTTTAAAAAACGAATACTTGTATTATTTTAGAATGTTAAACTTATTTTATTAATGCTGTTTTTATTAGTGTGTATAATTTTCTTGCCATTCCACTGTTCCACTTGTCAAAAAATATTCAGCTAACTAATCTCCATTTTTGCTTCAAGACTAGACTTACTTGGTACTCTTTGTAATGGAAGCATAGATTTGGTACAATTTT